AAAAAAAAAAAAAAAAAACTTAACTTTGTCAATATTGGTTTCAAGTAAAGGAAATAAAATATTCTTGATTTAGGATTATATACAATGCATGGAAAAGACAGATGGTGACCTTTTTTTTTCTTTACCAATCATCAAACATGTGAATGAATGAAATTCTTTCAGTTTAATATTTGTTTTGCAACAAAACAGAATAATTTTCCAATAAAGTTAAGGGTATCAATTCAATAAATCTTCTGATCTTCAAACTCAGCCTAGCAGAACACCAGTGATTACAGGAGAGAACACAAAACAAAAACAAAATCCCCACAATCTCCTGTGGCCATCAAATTAGGGGCTGGTTTTCTTGTATTGCTGAATTCTGTCGCAAGCTGTCCTATTTCCAAGGTTTGGATGGTACTTTAAAATGGACTTGCCTAGGAAGATTCAGAAAGCCTTTGTTCTTGGGCTTACACAGTAAGCATTTTGCGTGATTTTAAATCACATTTTTTATCCGGAACACAATCTTACAGGTCACATTTTTCTTAACAATGCTTCATACTGATTGGTGCTCTATAATATAAACATATTTACAAACAGGATACACACACTGATGCAGGCATATGAAGTTAGCCAGCCATCCATAAGCAGAATGGAATAAAAATTGCTGGGAGTGTTGTATATGACGCCAAGCCCATACAGACTATAGACGCCAGTCCCAAGACTGCTGAAGCAAGAACACTTCTCTGATCACGAATAATTATCTTCACATTCTCACAAAACTGGAAAATAAAAATTCAGAATATCAGAAAAAGTAGCTAAACCCAAGAAGAAGCATATACCAAATAGTAAAGCAGTTTTCCCAGCTATTTTTGATCTACCAGAAGAACTAGAAATTCCCCTATGACTTATGAAAAGGTTTACAATGCTAACAGTCCAGTTGCTTGCTTCCACATCTTACAGTAACTGAAATGATCTTTTAGACAATTGGGTTAATAATGGCAGTTGCTTTCATAAATACAGCATTTTATGAAAAACTCCGGAAAATATAATCACATAAAATTATCCATGATTAAAGGTTAAAAACATTAAACTGCTTATTAATACCAATAGCATATTCTAAAATTATATGAGTAAAAGGTCTTTCATCTTGAATAAAAAGAATGGTATTTGACCTATTAAAGGTAGATCTAATTCCTCCATTCTAAAATTTGGTTATACCAACGATAACTCTTTTATAGGTCTCAAAATCTAAAGGTATAGAAAATCAAATTTTGAGTATCTCTTTCCCTGCCTAAAGAAATTAAATTCACCATTAATTATGTGATACATAATTAGCTGCTAAAAGATAAGTTAAATACAGTCTCTACCCTTGAGGAATGAATTCTTCTAGCATGTGTAAATTTTTTTCCTTAGAAACATAATTTTATTTAGAAGGAATGGCCTGTGAGTGAGTTCTGGCTCTGCCTCTTCTTGGGCTGTGTGGCCTCAAATAAGTCACTTAATCTGTCCAGACTACCCTCCCCTCCTCCATGGAAACACTGAGATACTGTTATGGAGAACAAATGAGATGTTTCGGCAAAAGTACTCTGTATTCTTCTCTGTGCTGTATAAATGTAAGGTATTACAATGATTAGTTTAACTATTATAGCTATCAGAGATTATCTCTATCATAGCACTGTTTGTGCCAGAATTTAGCAATTAATTGCCATTTCTATATGAGTTTTGATATTCAAACCAATTTTAAGCTCTTCATCTAGACATGGTATCATATGTGCTTTTAGGGTTTTTTACAGCGGCTTACACAATACTCCACAGCTAGGTTTCCAGATTCTTACTGGGCAGAATGAACAAATTCAATGTACTTTAATAAACAGTCTTGGCAGTATGATTGCCTCTGTCCATTCCCACAATATCTATCTAAACAGCTGTGCAACATCCTGTTATACAAATATCAATCTATTTATAGGTCAAACATGATTTGTCTCCTTTCACTAATCTAATAAAGGCATTGAGTAACAATTATACCATCTTAAAGTATGAGGTGAGGTGAGGCTCAAACCAAAGTTTTCAAAACAGTGAAAAAGAGTCTTGGTAAATAATGAAAGATATGGACCCTAAGACCTCTGTAAGTTGACCACCCAAGGGACTGTAACAAACTGATCAACACAGGCGGCCAACATAGGGAACTAGGCCTGCTGCTCTAATATACATGTTAGTATATGTGTTCATGCCGTCTATGAAAATTAGGGCAATTTTAGGAGGTGATCAGTGGAGGGAAATGGTCACCTAAGGAGTGACTGTATTTAGGTCAGCAAGTTGTAGGTACAGTTATACTTATTTTCTCTTTCCCCCAATAATGTACAATTAAGTCAAGCAGAACATTGTAGACGCACTTTCCCGCAAAAGCAGATTTTCTCAGGAAGCATCTCCTTTCTAATGTCTTGTTCCTGTTCACTTGGCCAGGAGCACCTTTAGTGGTGGTCAACAGTAGGAAATTTCTCGAGGGTGTCAAGAAGTCTGTCAGGACACTTTAGGTGAGCACTTAGTCCCCAGAAAATAAGAAGTATTCGCAATTATTTTTGGCAATGGAAAAGCAGTATTAGTAGTTAAGTAATAAACAAAAATCATAGTAGAAAAAAAGCACAAGGAAGAGACATATTGACTAATTAAAGGGATTTTTAGTTTACAGACTACTGATTGTCAGGAGGAATATAAAAATCTCCTAATTTTATGATTACTAAATTTATAAAATAGAAGATTACCCCCAAAGAAGTAAATGTTCTTTGCCAGTTCATTTTCAAACTAATTACAATGTTTTCCTAAGGGAAAGTGTTCTTGAGAGAGAGTGTTTTATGAGTTCAAATTCAAGTAACAGAAATTCTCATGCTAAGTTGATAATAGTTGTGTATATATATGGAGAGCTCAAGAATCAAACCCAGAATCAAAGAATTCCTTCTGTGTCTAAAAAAGTAGAAACCAGTCCTCCTTCACTATTTCTGACCTACTTCTCTCAAGGCAGTTCAAAAAACTTAGAATTAGAAAATTTGGGATGAGGATTTTTTTTCCCCCTTGAAATCTACTCTGTGGCCAAATTGTTTGTTAACCCATTCAAAGAGAAGACAAAAAAACTCAGTTTCACAAGAGGTGCTATGCAGCAACACCAATGAAAACACTTCCCTACTGGTGTAAAACCTGACAAAGTTTCCAAAGATGAAAAAGGACTCCAACTAGTTATTTATGCAGATTAAATATTTTACTACCTTAAAAAGCATTTTTACTATTTTTTTTCCCTAGAAACATATAATACAGCGCTGTATGTGTTCCGTGAAGGAGTAGCTCCTAATTACCAGATAGAAATACTGTTTTTCCTTAGAGAAATGATTTGCTTGGTTCTTAAGTAAATCTGACGTGTTTCCTTTTGTACACTTTTGGAGCCAGTGTTTGTAAATGTGGTGAAGTTCATTTCTAAACAGGCCTGGAGCTGTGATTCTTGAATCATTGCACACTGCTCTAACTGTATTTTTATTTTACTTGGAAAAGAATTCCTAGATTGAGTCTGTTGTGGCTCTATAAAATCTACAAGGAGTCTCATATACCAAGGTATAAAACCACAATGCGTCCATGGTCTGCCACACAGAGACAGATTTTCCCAAATAGGTCAAAAAACTAATCAAGATATGGAGCAATTAAAAACTGGTTACATGGACTCCAATTCTTTTGGTCCAAAACAGTATCTAACCATGAAGAGTAACACTAAAGCTCATTATGTGATTACCCAGGTTTCCATTATGAAGAGGGAACATTAACAATTACTTTTTTAACAAGTGCAGCTAGGGCTGAGAAAGCTTCTAATTACAAATGAAGCTGCAGGCTTACCATGTTAACTATCTTTTAAAAAGAAATTAAAAATCCATTTTTCTCCTGTGGATTTGTAGCAATTTTAATAATTCTAAATGCTACTACTGTTTATTCAAAGTACTCATAAAAAAATTAACTTCTACTATTTCATAGCTCTTCTTAAAAAGCAATTGTCATGATACCCAGGGAACGCATAAGCAAATTCACCTACCTTTAGAGCTAATGTATAAAGGATACTTAACAATAGGAAGTCTAGATGCAGATTAAGCCCAAACCCAGAAAGAATTCTGAATACCAAGCTGAAGACCTTACTGCCTAGGTGCAGGAATAAGGGATCTACCATGAAAGTCCTCTTACTGGGAAGTTTCATCATTACAGTAAAGCAAAAGAAATTCAGTGCAGGACAGAGGGAGAAACCAACATGTTCCTTATTTTAAAGGTGCTCAATTTTTTTTATGGTGTTATAGATCAAATATGAACCCTAGAAACCTTCCTTTCGATTGAAATTCTTAAGTGGCGGGCAACAGATTTTCTGTGACCCCAGACCTCCCAGTCACTTGCCCTTTGTCATTTTAACTACTTTGTGGGTGGACACCTGATGACTTCTGCAGCAATAACTGGGCAGCTCTCTGGAATCTCTGAAAGCTGTCCTATATTGCCACACCCTTTCACTGCACCTTTGGAGATACGCTGCAAGGCACCTTGCCATTTATGTATCGACTTAGTCTCCCTTAGGAATTCCAGAGCTTTCCTTGCTTAATCTAGTTAGGGTAAGGGGTGTCCAGACTGACTGCGGCCCAAGCTGCATGCTGATTTTGTGAGGATTTTTTTTTCTAATCAACTTTTCTTAGCGTTTGTGTATTTAAGTGTGTGTGCTGAAACAACTCTGATTGTTCCAATGTGCAGCAGAGAGAAGAAAAGGTTAACAGCCCGGATAGAACTTTAAGAATGGTGTGGAAGCGGTGGGGGAGAAAGAAGACCCCCGCTCCTAGGAAGAGAAAGAAAAGGTGAGGGACGGGAAGGGACATTCCCATGGAGCCCACCTCCCCTGCCAGGCACGTGTCATACCTTGTCCGCCTGGGGGCTGACCGGGGTGCCATATCTGCAGTATGTCACGAAGTGCTCGCAGTTGTTCCACAACAGGCTGTAGGAAGTTATGCCCAGCAACTTCTCAGCCCTCCGTGCCACTTCTTCGTTGAGCAGCGCCTTCTTCTTCAGGGACTCGTCCAGGTGATTGACCAGGATGTTGGCTCCATAGGCGAAGTCCTCCACTGTGTCCACGCGGATGCTAGCCACTTTGACAATGACGCCCAGGATGAGACGCTTGTTGGAGACCACCTTCTGAGTGCGTCCCTTGTCGTCGGTGAGAGCCAAAAGGATGTCGGGCATCAGGTGGGCGACACGATTGTCACCCAGGTAGATGCCATAGTGGGTCAGGTGTGTCCGGGGCACCTCCAGCACGTCACCTCGTAGGAAAGAACTGACCTCATAGAAACTGTTCCTCCCTTTGTCTTCGCCCGGGTGGCCCGAACTGAAGAACTTGAAGTTGGAGATGAGGAGCAGCTTCTCCAGGAGTAGGGACACCACTTCCAGCATCGAGTTCTTCATCCTGCAGAGGAGAGGGAGCCTTGGAGGCGTGCCCCTGGCGCTCTGGCTAAAGGCACAGTGAGCTCGCCAGACAGCGGCGCGGTGATGCGGCCCACCTGCTGGCCAGGTGAGATACAGCGCGAGGTACTGCAGCAGCCGAGAAGCCTGGCTCAGCCAAACCTCAGTGGGGGATGAGGAAGATGAAGTAGCTGACACGGGAACAGTGGAACCAGCGTTACCAGGGACACACCTGCGAGTCTTGCCCAGAACGCAGGGCAGAGCGCGTTGCTGGAAAGTGCAGCTTTCGCTGCGGCCTTTTATGGCCGTCGAGGGGGCGGGGCCTAACGCCGTCACAGACCCAGGAGAGCGCACTGATTGGGCGCTGGCGGCGAGCCGGCTAGCGGTGGGGAAGGTGGGGGAATGTCCTCTGTACGCAAAGGGGCGGGCTGACTCCCAGCTCCTGGTTGCGGGCTGACTCCCAGCTCCTGGGTTCTGCACCGATATCCCTTCCTGCCTAGGGCTCCCTCTAGTTCTGGAAATGGAAGCATTTCCCGCCTTTAAGCGACCGATTTAGGGAAATAGAGGACCGAGGTGTGACCGCGAAAAAAGTCTTGCACCTGTTGGGACTAGGACGGATTGCTGGCACTTTAAGGTTATTTTTGGTGAAAAGTCCTCTCGGACGAAATTTCTGAGTAGGAACATTTCCCTCTCAGTAAGGAGGAACACCCGGCTTACTACAGAGGTTGCATTTACTTTGCGAAGCGTGCGTGCCTCGAAAAACTGAGGGTTCTTTTTTTCAGTGGATTTCCCGTCTTTTAAATGCCGGAATCCCCCAGCCAAGGTTGCCCCGGGAACTCGGGCTGGGTCGCCACCCACGTGCAGCCCCGCGCGCCGGCGAGAGAACCCCAGGTCCCTCCGCGCTTCGAGGCACCTGCGTGTCCCAACGGTTTCCCAACCGTCAGCATGAAAAAAACGGCTAGGCACCAACGTCCGCCGGGAAAGCGGGATTTGCGTCAAGTTCACTTCTCTGGCTTCAGGGTCACGTGGATTCAGCGATCCAGCACTAAAACTTTAGGGCTTTAAAAAAATCTCTCTCTCTCTGCGCACCTGCAGAAAGCCCTGAGTCCCTGCCCCTGAGCCTGCAGGCCCGCCCCGGGGCGCCCTCGAAGGTGGTCCCGGAGAGCTGCGGACAGAAGGAGCTGTTGCAGCACCCGCCGCTCCTGACTGGGCACGAGGTGTCCCCACTCCGCCTGAATTCCGCACTAATGCATTATGTAAATGCTTCTATTCTGGGGACAATGGCCAGAATGGAGTCTCCGATCGCTCCACAAAGCCGCGCTGCTCCGGGCTAATAGATTTCATCAGGGAGCAGATTCTGCGCTCGCCCGGGGGGAGGGCGTTCTCTGAGGGTGATGGATGAAGGAACATTCATCTTACCTGGAAGATGAAGGGGCCCGAGGAGACCCAGCGAGGGGGAAGGCCGGCTCCCTATTATTCTGGGAGGCTGGGCCCTTGCTCTCACCCCCAGCTGCCGTCAGCGGTCTGTCGCGGTCGCCTAGCCTGCCCATGACTTTTGTTCATTTCGCAAACGATAGCATATCACATTGTAGTCCCAGCAAAGAAAACTCGCACAAACGGAAGAGGAAGGTGGAGGAGAGAGAGGTGGCGGACGTGGAGATTTTAAAAAATGTATTACCCAGCCCACCCCCAAAATTTAAAGTAAAGCGCTAAGGCAGAGACTTGCTGAACTTACCAAACGCCACCGTACACTGGCGCCTGTTGGCTTCTAACAGCACATCGGCGCGGCACTTTTTTTTTCTTTTAAACATCTGGGGCGTTTGTGGACATTTTAAAGTCTGAACCAGACTTAGCGTGTTACGTTAAGTGCAGATCCGACGGCAGACTGGCAGACTCCTGTAGTCCATGTCGGAGAAAGCGCCAATACCCGAGCCTCTGGTGCTACCAGCCAAAAGGCCGGAGATCAAAGGGGATTTAGTAATTAGAGGCTTCCGTCCCTGGTGGTCCCTAACGCGGTTTATAACGTCTGCGGCTGTCTACCCCTGGGGAACTTGCGGGAGACAAAAACGCAAATTGTTCCATGGCTCCACAGAGACGGCGTTTAGAGCAAAATTAAGGAGAAAACACGTTATAGAAAACACGTAATAGCCTCATCCCTATGGCGCTTTGGAAGGAGGCAGGCAGTGCTAAGCTGGTATTTGATTTTTTTTTTCTTTCCCCATGGTGTCATTTTTCTAGCCGCCGCTTTCAGAAACGGGGTCACTTCACAAAGACAGGAGGCGAGAGGGATACATAAAATCTGTGAAGGTCGCAGATAGCCAGGAGCCTGGGAAATGAATGGGCTCGGGAGTGGCCATAGTTTCTTGAAGGTTATTGTTTTGCCTCTGATAATCCTTATTTTTAACTCAGAATGTATGTCATTAAGTAATTTTATTTTTCTCAGTGAAACAGCCCCAAAGCTGCCCCCTCCTCTGCCCCGCCTGCTTGCAGTGAATTGGGCTCCTGGCAACCCAAAGGCAGCAGCGGAACACTTTTATCATCTGTGTTTCTGATCTCCCAGACCTCTTATATCAGGAGGAGTTAGTGACGGCGGTGCAGTTTTCAGCTGAAAAAATGTCCTGTCGAATGAGCTTTTGTTGTTGAACCGCTTGCCCTCTTGATCAAGGATCACTGCGACCTTACCTTGCAAAAGGCAGCTTCTGAACATTCTCAAAATCGCGTGTATTCTGTGGCTAAGTGGTCAGTTTTTGATGGCTCCCTAGAGGCACACTTGATAAAAATATGTTTACACAGGAATGAGTTGCTGCTCCACTAATACTTTCCTGCCTGCCTCAATTTTAGTTAAATGGAAGATCATTGCTGATAGATAGAAAGGCCCTAGAAAAATTTAACATTGTAAATTCTTCTAAACCAGAAACTGTCATATGAAAACAGGAGAAATCTCCCTACCCCCAGTTTCTAGAAACACCTCTTATCTCCTAGATAGTAAGAAAGGTGGTTACATTCAATGGTAAAATTCATGTGCAAATGCCTTAATACATGGTCTGGCCCAGTGGACACACAGACTGTGCTGAGCAGTCAACCTGCACCTTGGCCCCCATCTCCCTACCTGCCTGCAGAAGAACCAAAGACAGCTATAGTGTCCTTACCAGGTCTGCCACCGGCTCAGGCCCGGTCCATTTCTCCCAGTAGTACAGACAAAGATCCTTCTGAGTCTCACTTCAGACACTCTCTTGGTGGTTCCCAGGAGTTTTTGCTCTTAGGAACTAGGATAGGGATCAGATCCAGTGTTTAACAGGAGCCCGGAAGGCTAACAGATTTCCCACCCTCAGGCTTCCTGCCCTGGAGCCTCCCTACTCATCAAAGAAGTCTTTGCAGTAGAAGATAAAAATCATAAATACTACTATTAATAATAATGTTTATTGTATACTTTCTACGTGTTAGACATTGAACTAAGCATGTTCTCATTTAATCCTCATAACTGCGTGAAGTAGTATCTCTATTTTACACAGAAAGAAAGTGAGGTTTATAACTTTGTCTAGGTCACTGTGCTAATATGTGGCTCAAGTCTCAACCATAGGTCTCCTTTGCCCCACTCACCCCAGGTCCTTAGCCATCACTGGGGAAGGCCTGAACTTCCATCTGTCTAACCATCCATCATCCATTATTTATTGAAAACCTGCTATATGACAGGGACTATGAACCCTGGAGGTTCAGTAAAATACCTAACTCTAAATTTAGATTCCACACTCTTTCTTGATAATTTGAACTTAATTTCCTCACTTCCCTTGTGCAGTGAAGTTCAATTCCTAACATCAACTGTTTTACTGGGATAGTGAGAAAGGGTTGGTTAAGGTTTTGTTTAGTAGTATGCCCTCACCAGGAAGGTCCCTGCACTTGAGTGGGACACAAGGTCCTACAGGCTCCTTAGGATCTAGGGAACTTGGAAATCTTACCCAAGTACACAGAGTCAGGAGCAGAACCTAGGTCCTGGGTCCCAGACTTGAGCCCCAAGCCTGATAAATCTGCTTTTCTAAATAGTAGGTTTTAAAATTCTTGGCCTCCTTTAGGATTATTCTAGTATTTTTTTATTTTTTTAGACCACTGAATCATTGAGTTTATAAGTAAAGATAGTGTTAAAATTTGTTTTCCTTCAGAGCTATCCATCTACCTTTCATTCACAAATGCTCAGAATTGACCCTCCCTGAAAAAAAAAGGCGCCTAATTAGCTAACTCCAGGGGTGTGGGAAGAAACAAAAGCTTTTGTGAACTTTCTGCTGGCAACGGAGGAAAAAGCACTTTTTCATGGCTCCTCCTAACTCAGAGCTACAAGGAGTGTTATGCCAATAGGAATCAATTACCTCCCAGGAGGAGATTTTCCATAGCTTCCTTCCTGGTGGCTAGCACCTTATTAAGAGGGCCTCTCTCTCTTGCTTATTGTCTTTAGAAAGATTAAAGGCTGCAGCTTCAGTTGGTCATGTTGTTGTTCGCCAACCATAAAATAAGAACCCTGAACACAACAAATAATTTACATTCAGATTATGAAGAATCATGACCCAAATGAATACAGCTTAATCTAGAATTAGCAATAGGTTGGAGCAATAGGTTGTGATATAGAAAAAGGAGGCAGAAAGGCAGAAACCCTGAGGTGAAGGCCTAGAAGTGCCATTTACAGCTAAATAAACTCAGAGGAGTCAATTGGCACTTCTGAGCCTCTATTCTGTCTTTCTAAAATGGTAATAATATTTCAGACGGTTGCTTTGAGAATTAAACAAAATCAAATATATTGTGGCATTGTATAAAAATTAACCATGTGATGCATTCGCTATAATATATTATTCTTTAGAGGAACAAAGTAGCTACAGGACCTTTTGCATTTCTGCTTTGACAGTACAGTCATCCACAAATGCAGTGTAGACAAATGTCATGCATTACCTCACATCACAGACCCTTTCTGAAGACTGTAACAGAACCACAGGGGTGAGCAGAAAGTAGGCAAGTTACCATTCTGGAGGTGAAAGAAACCACAGAGAACCTAAGGACACCCCCCTACCCCCAGTGCACTCAAAGATTCACCCTCAGGAGATCGGGGAGCTCTCCCAGAGCTCTGCTCCTCAGGCTGCTCACCACCAAGGAAATGGTTTCTAATTCATACAAACAAAGATTAAAATATGTCATTTGTTGAAAAAAATAACCTCTCACGAGGTACAAAACACCCCACACGTTCATTTTA